ATTGTTTTGACTTTCACAAGACAGAACAGGATTTCACAAGATTATGGGTAATTTTGGAGCATTAAAAATGATGCATTTTTTAAGGGCAGAATGAAGTGTTTCTCCTATTTGGATCTAGAAAAACACTCATTCTATAAAAGTGGGTTTCTTAAAGCCAATGCTCTTTCCTCCGTAGAATCATAGAATCAAAGAGTTGGAAGGGACCTCCTGGGCCATCCAGTCCAACCCCATTCTGCCAAGAAGCAGGAATATTGCATTCAAATCACCCCTGACAGATGGCCATCCAGCCTCTGTTTAAAAGCTTCCAAAGAATGAGCCTCCACCACACTGCAGAGAGTTCCACTGCTGAACAGCTCTCACAGTCAGGAAGTTCTTCCTCATGTTCAGATGGAATCTCCTCTCTTGTAGTTTGAAGCCATTGTCCTTGCATCCTAGTCTCCAGGAAGCAAGAAACAAGCTTGCTCCCTCCTCCTGTGCTTCCTCTCACATATGTATACGCTCATCATATCTCCTCTCAGCCTTCCTTTCTCCAAGCTATTATCTCGTTCTTTTCCTCCTCCTCTCCTCCTCCTCTCCTCCCCTTCTCCTTCCTCTTCTCCTCCTCTTCCCTTCCTCCTTCTTTTCCTCCTCTTCTTCCCTCTTCTCCTTCTCTTCCTTTCCTTCTCTCTCTCTTTCTCCTCCTCTCCTTCCCTTTCTCCTTCTCTCTCCTCTCCTCCTCCTCTCTATCCCTCTCTCCTCCTCTCCTAAAACAAGCTTGTGCCCTCCTCCCTGTGGCTTCCTCTCACATATTTATACATGGCTATCATATCTCCTCTCAGCCTTCTCTTCTTCAGGCTAAAAATGCCCAGCTCCTTAAGCCGCTCCTCATAGGGCTTGTTCTCCAGACCCTTGATCATTTTAGTCGCCCTCCTCTGGACACATTCCAGCTTGTCAATATCTCTCTTGAATTGTGGTGGCCAGAATTGGACACAATATTCCAGGTGTGGTCTAACCAAAGCAGAATAGAGCATGGGGAGCATGACTTCCCTGGATCTAGACACGATGCTCCTATTGATGCATAACTTTATTTGTACCCCGCTAGCATCTCCCGAAGGATTCGATGCGGTTTACAAAGGCCAAGGCCTCAAAACACAACATAACAATACACAACCTAAAGCAAATTAAAAACAGTTAAAGCAATATTTAACAACAAGCAATAAAACAATACACCAGGGCACAATAACAAGCAATAAAACAATACACAGGGCACTACAACTCGCATAGCATCAAACCACAGCTGTTAAAGTGATTTAACGGAACTCATTCTACAGTGTATATGTACCCAAAGTCTGACACCAAACTACAAATTCCAGGATTTTTTTTTGTAACGGTGCAATCATAGTATCAGACTATCAAAAACATGGGAAAGATCCCCTTTTTGTACTCTATCTCTCAGAATCCAACCCAACATACGAGGGTTGAATGAAAAGTTATGCCTCCATCCTTGTAACTCCTCAACAGATGGCAGTACTGGTATGTGGAAGGTACTGGCTTGTTCAGTAGACTCTCCTCTACAGTTCTCCAGCAGCAAACATATGAGGGTTGAATGAAAAGTTATGCCTCCATCCTCGTAACTCCTCAACAGATGCGGCAGGTACTGGCTTGTTCAGTAGAGTCTCCTCTACAGTTCCATTTTTGTGGGAAGCCTTAGCATTGAACGGTTGTGTTGTTAAAGTGCGAAGTATAGAACCCTGCGCAGACAGTCGGTCAATGCAAATTAAGCAACGAGCAGTCACTGGATTCTTGACAGCAGAAGATATCACCTTAACATCTTTAAACTTACTCACCCAACAACACACAGTCCTCACATCAACACAATCACCATAAACAGCTTGCATTCTCTGATGAATCTCCTTTGAGGGGACACCTTCTGTTGTCAAGAATTCAATGACTGCACGTTGCTTAAGTCGCATTGACCGACCGTCTGCACAGGGTTCCATACTTCGCACTTTAGCAACACAGCCATTCAATGCTAAGGCTTCCTGCCAAAATGGAACTGTAGAGGAGAGTCTACTGAACAAGCCAGTACCTGCTGCATGCTAGTACTGCCATCAAGCCATCTCTTTAGGATTTACGAAGGTGGAGGCATTACTTTTCATTCAACCCTTGTAGTTACAGGGGATTCTGGTTTAAAGCAGCGACCTCTCTTTTATGCACTTCAACTGTCATTTCCAAACTAATGCCTCTTTCCAAAGCAAGCACAGCATCTCCGAGGGGTCATCTTGTAATCCCTCCATATTTTAAACTCTTGGGACAAATACATGTGTGGGCACTTTGCCCTGAGATGGAAACATTCTACTTGATGTTCTTTTATATTCAGCAAGGAAAGTGCTAAAGCAGCTGCTTCAAGTTTCCAAGCCCTGGCTGGGTGATGCGGCAGCAAGCGGCACGGGCGAGTCCGTCACGTTGCAGTCAGACTTTTTCATGCGATGCCGGCGCTTCCACGGACGTAACTCCAATTAAATACATATCTGGGCATTCCGTGTGCAGCTTGGCTGGCAAGCTTGCATTTTTCAGATTCCAGGGAGCTGCAGTGTGGCTCATACTTGTCATTCCTTTTCCACTTGCTTCCCCAAACCACCCAGGTCTGGAGGTTCTTCACTTTTTTCATGTGGTTTGGTGATGTGGGTTTTCCTTGCCTCACCGCTGCCCTTGGGGAATGTTTAAGGATTGGTAGCAACCAATTAAGAAATATTTATGTTGCAAAATGCTCATCTTCCTCTATACCAGTGTTTCTCAACCTGGGGGTCGGGACCCCTGTGGGGGTCGCAAGGGAGTGTCAGAGGGGTCGGCAAAGACCATCAGAAAATACAGTATTTTTTGTTGGTCGTGGCGGTTCTGTGTGGGAAGTTTGGTCCTATTCTATCGTTAATGGGGTTCAGAATGTTATTTCATTGTGGGTGAACTATAAATCTCAGCAATTACAACTCCCAAATGTCAAGGTCTGTTTTCCTCAAAGTCCTCCAGTGTTCACATTTGGGCATACCGAGTATTCGTGCCAAGTATTCGTGCCACAGTGGAAAAGGGGCAAGCAAAGCAAATTCCAGTGTCTGTTCCAAAAGGTCAAATGCACTGAGTCTCATTTACACACATGACCAGCCACTGCCAGAAGGGACAGAGAGTCTCATCTATGCTGATGATTGTGCCATTACTGCTCAAGCAGGGAGCTTTGAGATGGTAGAACAGAAGCTCTCCGAAGCTCTAGGTGCTCTTACCGCCTATTATAGGGAAAACCAGCTGATCCCTAATCCATCTAAAACACAGACATGTGCTTTTCACCTTAAGAACAGACAAACATCCCGAGCTCTGAGGATTATTACCTGGGAAGGAATCCTATGGGAGCATTGCAGCGCACTCAAATACCTGGGGGTCACTCTGGACCGTGCTCTGACCTAGAAGAAGCACTGCCTGAACATCAAGCAAAAAGTGGGTGCTAGAAACAACATTAAACGAAAGCTGACTGGCACAACCTGGGGATCACAACCAGACACAGTGAAGACATCTGCCCTTGCGCTATGCTACTCTGCTGCTGAGTATGCATGCCCAGTGTGGAACACATCTCACCACACTTAAACAGTAGATGTGGCTCTTAATGAAACATGCCGGGGTGTCTGCGCCCTACACCACTGGAGAAATTACACTGCTTAGCCGGTATTGCACCACCTAACATCTGCTGGGAAGTAGCAGCCAATAGTGAAAGGACCAAGGCAGAGACATCTCCAGCGCATCCCCTGTTTGGGTATCAGCCAGCACGTCAACGACTTGAATCTAGAAAGAGTTTTCTAAGATCTACAGAGACACTTGCTGGAACACCTCAGCAAGCGAGAGTCCAAAAGTGGCAGGCTCAAACCCAGAACCTCAACCAATGGCTGATACCAAATGAGAGACTCCCCCCTGGGCACACAGAGGACTGGGCGACTTGGAAGGCGCTGAACAGACTGCGCTCTGGACACCACGAGATGCAGAGCCAACCTTCAGAAATGGGGCCACAAAATGGAATCCACGACATGCGAGTGTGGAGAAGAGCAAACCACTGACCACCTGCTGCAAGGCAACCTGAGCTCTGCCACATGCACAAGGGAGGACCTTCTTGCAGCAACACCAGAGGCACTCCAAGTGGCCAGATACTGGTCAAAGGACATTTAATCAACTACCAAACTCACAAGTTGTGTATTTTGTCTGTCTGTTTGTTTTGTTCTGTTAGAAATGTAATACAATTGACTGGTTGCCCTGACACGACAAATAAATAAATAAATAAATAAATAAATAAATAAATACAGCAAGTTAAACATGAGCCAGGAATGTGATGTGGCGGCAAAAAAAGCCAATGGGATTTTGGCCTGCATCAATAGGAGCATAGTGTCTAGATCTAGGGAAGTCATGCTACCCCCTCTATTCCGCCTTGGTTAGACCAAACCTGGAATATTGTGTCCAATTCTGGGCACCACAATTCAAGAGAGATATTGACAAGCTGGAATGTGTCCAGAGGAGGGCGACTAAAATGATCAAGGGTCTGGAGAACAACCCCTATGAGGAGCGGCTTAAGGAGCTGGGCATGTTTAGCCTGAAGAAGAGAAGGCTGAGAGGAGATATGATAGCCATGTATAAATATGTGAGAGGAAGCCACAGGGAGGAGGAGGGAGCAAGCTTTCTTTCTGCTTCCCTGGAGACTAGGAGGAGCAATGGCTTCAAACTACAAGAGAGGAGATTCCATCTGAACACGAGGAAGAACTTCCTGACTGTGAGAGCCGTTCAGCAGTGGAACTCTCTGCCCCGGAGTGTGGTGGAGGCTCCTTCTTTGGAAGCTTTTAAACAGAGGCTGGATGGCCATCTGTCAGGGGTGATTTGAATGCAATTTCCTGCTTCTTGGTAGAATGGGGTTGGACTGGATGGTCCACGAGGTCTCTTCCAACTTTAGGATTTCTATGATTCTAACTATGAACTCGGCTAAGCAGGCTTACCTTTCCCCATTCTTGCCCCCAAAACAGCCTCCTTGGCAGTCCCAAAGCCAATCTCTCGGCAGATCACGTTGGCCGATCGAAGGTCCCAGCTGTTATCGCAGATAGTTCCCCATTCCCCGTTCATCATCACTTCAACGCGACCTTCTCCAGGCAGGGCGCCACCCTTTAGCCTCACCACTGTGTGCTGGAAAAAGACAATTCCACAAGAGAAAACATACTCTTTAAGGGATATACCATGTCTTTATGCATATTATTCATCACTTACTTCATTATGCATGCCAAACTCAGTAGCACCTCCTAACCCAGTCCTCCCAAAACCTACTTTGAGATGGCGATTGTCATAAAACTGGAATGTCCGGCGTTTGGTTTCTCAAAGTATTGTCTTGGGCCACAAGTAAAATACGCTAACACTGCTCTCAGTCCCACCACCTTCGCAAGCGCATTTGGTGGGAACGAGAGACAGGGCCTTCTCTGTGTTGGCCCCTCGGCTATGGAACTCTCTCCCAAGCGAGATTAGATCTGCCCCCTCCCTCTTGTCCAGTGTTTCTCAACCTGGTGGTCTGGACCCCTGGGGGGGTCGTGAGGGGGTGTCAGAGGGGTCGCCAAAGACTATCAGAAAACACAGTATTTTCCGTTGGCCATGGGGGTCCTGTGTGGGAAGTCTGACCCAATTCTATTATTGGCAGGGTTCAGAATGCTCTTTGATTATAGGCGAACAATAAATCCCAGCAACTACAACTCCCAAATGTCAAGATCTATATTCCCCAAACTCCCCCAGTGTTCACATTGGGGCATATTGAGTATTCGTGCCAAGTTTGGTCCAGATCCATCATTGTTAGAATCCACAGTGCTCTCTGGATGTAGGTGAACTACAACTCCAAAACTCAAGGTCAATGTCCAGCAAACCCTTCCAGTATTTTTTGTTGGGTCATGGGAGTTCTGTGTGCCAAGTTTGGTTCAATTCCATCATTGCTCTTTGATTGTAGGTGAACTATAAATCCCAGCAACTACAACTCCCAAATGACAAAAATCAATCTCCCCCACAACCCCACCAGTATTCAAATTTGGGCGTATCGGGTATTTGTGCCAAGTTTGGTCTAATGAATGAAAATACATCCTACGCATCAGATATTTACATTACAATTCATAACAATAGCACACATATATGCATACATATATATGCATACACAAGACACATACACAGAACAGGGGAAGGAAGGAAGGGAGGAAGGAAGGAAGAAGAGAAGGAGGGAGAGAAAGAGGGAAAGAAGAGAGAAGGAAGGAAGAAGGTAGAAAGGAAGGAAGGAAGAGGAAAGGAGAAAGAGGAGGGAAGGAAGGAAAGAGACAAGAAAAGGAAAGAAAAGGGGGAAGGAGGGAGGAAGAAGAAGGAAGGAAGGAGGAAAGGAGGGGAAAGAAAGGGGGAAAGAGAAGGAGGGAAGGAAAGAAAGGTAGAGAAGGAAGGAAGGAGAGAAGGAAAGAAAAAAGTGAAGAGGGAGGAAGGAGAGAAGGAGAAGGAAGAAAGGGAGGGAAGGAAGGAAAGAGAAAGGAGAGGAAAGAAGGAGGAGGAAGGAAGGAAGAAGGAAAGGAGGAAGAAGGGAAGGAAGGAAGAGGAAGAGAAAGGGAAGGAGAAAGAGAAGAAGTAGAGAAGGAAGGAAGGAGAGAAGGAAATAAAAAGTGAAAGAGGGAAGGAAGGAGAAGGAACAAAAGGGAGAAAGAGGGAGGGAGGGAGGGAGGGAGGGAGGGAGGGAGGGAGGGAGGGAGGGAAGGAAGGAAGGAAGGAAGGGAAAGGAAAGGAAGGGAAAGGAAGGAAGGAGAGAAGGAAGGAAGGAAGAAGGAAATAAAAAAGTGAAAGAGGGAAGGAAAGAGAGAAGGAATGAAAGGAGAGAGAGGAGGAAGGAAGGAAAGAGACAAGGAAGGATGAAACCAAAGAGGAAGGGGGAGAGAAGGAGGGGAGGGAGGGAGGAAAGGAAGGAAGGAAGGAAGGAAGGAAGAAAGGAGGAAAGAGAAGGAGGGAAAAGAAAAGAGAAGGAGGAAGGAAAGGAGTAGAGAAGGAAGGAAGGAGAGAAGGAAATAAAAAAAAATAGAAAAAAAAAGAAAAAAAAAAGAAAAAAAGAAAAAGAGAAAAAAAAAGGAAAAGAAAGGAAGGAAAGAAAGAAGGAAGGAAGAAGAGAAGGAAAGATGGGAAGGAAGGAAGGAAGGAAGGAAGGAAGGAAGGAAGGAAGGAAGGAAGGAAGGAAGGAGGGAGGGAGGGAATGAAGGAGGGAGGGATGGGAGGAGAGGAAGGAGGGAGAGAAAGAGGAAAGAAGGAGAGAAGGAAAGAAAGGTAGAGAAGGAAGGAAGGAGAGAAGGAAATAAAAAAGTGAAAGAGGGAAGGAAGGAGAGAAGGAACGAAAGGGAGAAAGAGGGAGGGAAGGAAGGAAAGAGACAAGGAAGGATGGAACACAGAACAGGGGAAGGAAGGGAGGAAGGAAGGAAGGAAGGAAGAGAAAGGAGGGAGAGAAAGAGGAAAGAAGAAGAGGAAGGAAGGAAGAAGAGGAAAAAAGGAAAGGAGAGAAGGAAGAGAAGGAAGAGGGAGAAAGAGGGAAGGAAGGAAAGAGACGAGGAAGGATGGAACCAAAGAGCAAAGGAAGAAACTGGTAGAGAAAGAAGAAAGAAAGAAGAAGGGAAAGAAGAACAGGGAAGGAAGGAGAGAAAGAAAGAGGAGAGAAAGAGGGAGGGAAGGTTGGCCACAGCAACAGCTAGTCTTCAATAAACTGCTTGCTGATTTAACTTGGACTGGAGTGTGGTGGTTAAGTACAGAGGTGCTTCCTGCCCTGGAGTGCAACATGGAGGTTATGATCGCCAAAGTGACTTTTCTAAGTTGAGGTCCTTCAGCAAAAGAGTTCTCCTCCTTACCTCTGGCCGGTAAGCTTTGCGGAAACCAGGGTGACCACTGGGAGCAAACGCACGTCCTGGGAGGCAACTGACCACCACCGGCATCCCATGATCACAGGTAGCATTCACGTGATCCGGGTTGAGGTGACGGCCCAGTTTGCAGCTGGAGAGATGGGATTCGTTGCCTGTGCAGTCCACGGAATAAGCCCAATAGTTGTGTTTCCTTCTGTATGCTGCTATCCTAGGAAAACAGAAACGAATAAAGACAAGCTGAACTTAATGTAACACAGTTTGATTGCATTGCAGATGAATTTCATTTGCCAGTTGCTTGAATTCTGGTTAACTGAAAATCTCATGTAGTTACTTAGCTTGCTTCCTCCTTTGCTACGATGCCAGGACTCACCCTCCACTCTGTTCGGCCTCTACCTTTCGGCTAGATCAGGCATGGGATAACTTTCTAACTTGGGGGCTACACGGCAGGCTGGAGTGGGGTGGGCAGGCTAGGAAGGGTCCTCCCCTTCCTCCTCTCTTACGGAGGCAGAAAGTGAAGGAAAGATTGGAAACGTCTGGACCCCAAAAGGGTTAGCCTTGGTCAGGATGAGATGGTGGACAGGAGAGAAAAAATGTATCCAATATGGGTATTGCCCACTCCTGATATAGAATCTTAGAATTGGAAGAGATCTCCAAGGGCCATCCAATCCAACCCACCGCCATGCAGGGAGGCACAATCAAAGCATTCCCAATAGACAGCCTCTGTGGAAAAACCTCCAGAGAAGGAGATTCCACCATACTCTGAGGCAGCCTAGGCCACTCTCCAGGAAGTTCTTCCTAATCTTTTGAGTCAAATCTCTTTCCCTGCCATTTGAACCCATGGCTCCCTTCTTGTGCCCTGGTCTCTAGAGCAGCGGAAAGTCAGTCCCCAACCTCCTTCTCAATGGGGACACCCTTTCAAATTTTGAATCATGGTTCTCATGTTCCCTCTTGACCTTCTCTTCTCCCAGCTAAACATCCCCCAAGAGGAAAGGAGGAAGGAAAAAGAGAAGGAAGGAAGACAGGATGGAAGGAAAGGAAGGAGGGAGGGAGGGAGGGAGGGGGAGGGAGGAAGAGAGAAGGGAGGAAAGACAAAAGGGAAGGAAGGAAAAGGAGAAAGAGAGAGGGAAGAGGAGGGAAAGAGGGAAGGAAGGAAAAGGGGAAGGAAGGAAGGAAGAAGAAAGAGAGGGAAGGAAGGAGGATAGAAGGAAGAGGCGCTTCCTCTCTTTCCTTCCTCCTTCCCTCCCTCCCTCCTTTCCTTCCTTAGGAAGGAAGGGTGGAAGGGAAAGAGGGAGGGAGGGAGAGGATGGAAAGACAAAAGGGAAGGAAGGAAGAAAAGGGAGGGAAGGAGGGAGGAAGAGGAGGAAGGACGAAAAGTGGAGGGAAGGAAGGAGGGATGGAGAAAGAGGGAGGGAAGGAAGAAAGGAGGGAGGGAGGGAAGGAAGGAAGGAGAGGAAGGAGAAAGAGGAAGGAGGGAAGGGGAAGGATGGAAGGAGAAGGAGGGAAGGGAAGGAGAAGGGAAAGAGAGAAGGAAGGAAAGACAAAAGGAGGGAAGGAAGGAAAAGGGGAAGGGAGAAGGAAGAGGAGAAGAGGGAGGGAAGGAGGAAGGAGGAGGAAGGAAAAGGAAGGAAGGAAGGAAGGAAGGAGGAAGGAGGAAGAAGAGAAAGAGGAAGGAAAGAGAGAAGGAAGGAAAGCAAAAGGGAAGGAGGAAGGAAAAGAAGGAGGAGGAAGAGGAAGGAAAGAAGAATGAAAGAGGGAAGGAAGGATGAGGGAGGGAGGGAGGGGAAGAGGGAGGTAAGGAAGGAAAGGAGGGAGGAGAGGAAGGGGGGAGAGAAAGAGGGAAAGAGGGAGGAGGGAGGAGGGAGGAAGAAAGAGAAGGAAGGAAAGACAAAAGGAAGGAAGGAAGAAAAGAGGAGGGAAGGAGGAAGGAAGAGAGAGAAAGAGGAAGGAAGGAAGGAAGGAAGGGATGGAAGAGAGAAGAGGGAGGAAGGAGGGGGGAGGAAGGAAAGAGAAGGAAAGACAAAAGGGAAGGAAAGGAAAAGAGGAAGGAGGGAGGAAAGAGGGAAGGAAGTAAGGATATGAAAGAGTGGAAGGAGAAGGAGGGGGAGGAGGAGGAAGTGGGGGAAGGAAGAAGGAAAGAGAGAAGGAAAGAAGGCTATAGGATGGTGTGAGAGAGGAGTGTCTGAGAACAGAGCCCATACTTGGGCTAGATGGCTATTGACTAGAAGTTCCTTCTCAAAGTGAGAAGAAAGATTCCTCTCCTTACACCTTGACCTGAGAGCAGCCCTTTTAGCTCTGCTTTCTCTCTGAATCTTCTTTGTTCCCCTGATGTCTGTGTGTTTGAAAGGCAAACCTTCAGGAAAACATAGTTAAAGACCCAGGCTCGCCTCCTGCTCTATTTTCAGAAAAGGAGCTCCAAAGGGCTCAGCCCAGATAACATAGTAGGATAGGAAACTCTCAGAGTTTTGAAAGTTTATATTTCCTTGAACATCCACGGCACTGTCAAACACAGGGAAACTAAATTGCATTCCAGGCTGAAAGTCTGGCAGCAAGGAGGGCGATGGACTAAGTTGTTTTCTTAAGTTGAAGAGTCATCTGTGAATCATTTTGCTTCCCGCTATCCTGGGGGGTCAGAGCCTCATCGGGGTGACCTCAGCATCTAGAAGCTGTGGCTCATTTTGGGAATTTAATATGTGGTTCTCTGGGATGGTGAGGAGGGTTCCTTATAATCCGCCGGTTACCAAAGTAGTGAGTCAGGTCAGTGGAACAGAAACCTAGTTTGGAAACTGGTTTCCCAGCTGGAGAAGCACAGTGTAAACGAGAGGTCGCACGCTTGGGGAAAACCTACTTCTTGGAAGCATCACGTGGAATGCAGCCAGAGAAATGAAAAGTCCACCAATGTGGCTTCGGAATCACGTGTAAAGAGAAACAGATCCAAGTGACCAGTGAGAAAGTCAGAGATTTATTTTGTTTTCCATTTAAAGAGGCATCTGCATATTCTCGCCTTAAAGCAGATGGTTTGTTTGTGTTTATCTGTCTCGTTATATATAATTGTAAAGGCACTGAATGTTTGCCTATGTATGTAAATGCTGTAATCCAAGCACCTCCCCAGAACCAGAGATGAGCACTGCCTCCAGAAGCCAGAAATGAAAGGAGAGGCCTCTGCCTTTGTTTGTGTTTGTCTGTCTCATTGTATATAATTGTAAAGGCACTGAATGTTTGCCTATGTATGTAAATGCTGTAATCCAAGCACCTCCCCAGAGCCAGAGATAAGCACTGCCTCCGGAAGCCGGAAATGAAAGCAGAAGCCTCTGCCTTTGTTTGTGTTTGTCTGTCTCATTGTATATAATTGTAAAGGCACTGAATGTTTGCCTATGTATGTAAATGCTTTAATCTAAGCACCTCCCCAGAGCCAGAGAGAAGCACTGCCTCCAGAAGTCGGAAATGAAAGGAGAAGCCTCTGCCTTTGTTTGTGTTTGTCTGTCTCATTGTATATAATTGTAAAAACATTGAATGTTTGCCTATGTATGTAAATGCTGTAATCCAAGCACCTCCTCAGGAAATGAAAGGAGAAGCCCCTGCCTTTGTTTGTGTTTGTCTGTCTCATTATATATAATTGTAAAAGCACTGGATGTTGGCCTATGTATGTAAATGCTATAATCCAAGCACCTCCTCAGAGCCAGAGATGAGCACCGCCTCCAGAAGCCGGAAATGAAAGGAGAAGCCTCTGCCTTCATTTGTGTTTGTCTGTCTCATTGTATATAATTGTAATGGCATTGAAAGTTTGCCTATGTATGTAAATGCTATAATCCAAGCACCTCCCCAGAGCCACAGATGAACACCGCCTCCAGAAGCCGGAAATGAAAGGAGAAGCCTCTGCCTTTATTTGTGTTTGTCTGTTTCATTATATATAATTGTAAAGGCACTGAATGTTTGCCTATGTATGTAAATACTACAATCCAAGCACCTCCTCAGAGCCTGAGATGAGCACTGCCTCCAGAAGCCGGAAATGAAAGGAGAAGCCTCTGCCTTTGTTTGTGTTTGTCTGTCTCATTGTATATAATTGTAAAGGCACTGAATGTTTGCCTATGTATGTAAATGCTGTAATCCAAGCACCTCCCCAGAGCCAGAGATGAGCACTGCCACCAGAAGCCAGAAATGAAAGGAGAAGCCTCTGCCTTTGTTTGTGTTTGTCTGTTTCATTGTATATAATTGTAAAGGCACTGAATGTTGGCCTATGTATGTAAATGCTGTAATCCAAGCACCTCCCCAGAGCTGGAGATGTGCACCGCCACCAGAAGCCAGAAATGAAAGGAGAAGCCTCTGCCTTTGTTTGTGTTTGTCTGTCTTATTGTATATAATTGTAATGGCATTGTAAGTTTGCCTATGTATGTAAATGCTGTAATCCAAGCACCTCCCCAGAGCCAGAGATGAGTACTGCCTCCAGAAGCCGGAAATGAAAGGCGAAGCCTTTATTTGTGTTTGTGTGTCTCACTGTATATTATTGTCAAGACATTGAATGTTTCCTTATGTATATAAATGCTGGAATCCAAGCACCTCCCAGCCAGAGATGAGCACCGCCTCTGGAAGCCAGAAAAGTGAAGCCTCTGCCTTTGTTTGTGTTTGTCTGTCTCATTATATATAATTGTAAAGGCACTGAATGTTGGCCTATGTATGTAAATGCTGTAATCCAAGCACTGTCCCAGAGCCAAAGATGAGCACCGCCTCTGGAAGCCAGAAAAGTGAAGCCTCTGCCTTTGTTTGTGTTTGTCTGTCTCATTGTATATAATTGTAAAGGCACTGAAAGTTTGCCTATGTATGTAAATGCTATAATCCAAGCACCTCCCCAGAGCCACAGATGAACACTGCCTCCAGAAGCCGGAAATGAAAGGAGAAGCCTCTGCCTTTGTTTGTGTATGTCAGAGACAACTGAACGAATGAACAACAACATCTCATTGTATATAATTGTAAAGACATTGAATGTTTGCCTGGGTATGGAAATGCTGTAATAAAAGCACCTCCCCAGAGCCAGAGATGAGCACTGCCTCCAGAAGCTGGAAATGAAAGGAGAAGCCTCTGCCTTTGTTTGTGTATGTCAGAGACAACTGAACGAATGAACAACAACATCTCATTGTATATAATTGTAAAGACATTGAATGTTTGCCTAGGTATGGAAATGCTGTAATCCAAGCACCTCCCCAGAGCCAGAGATGAAGCACTGCCTCCAGAAGCCAGAAATGAAAGGAGAAGCCTCTGCCTTTGTTTGTGTTTGTCTGTCTCATTGTATATAATTGTAAAGGCACTGAATGTTTGCTTATGTATGCAAATGCTGTAATCCAAGCACCTCCCCAGAACCAGAGATGAGCACTGCCTCCAGAAGCCGGAAATGAAAGGAGAGGCCTCTGCCTTTATTTGTGTTTGTCTGTCTCATTATATATAATTGTAAAGGCACTGAATGTTTGCCTATGTATGTAAATGCTGTAATCCAAGCACCTCCCCAGAGCCAGAGATGAGCACTGCCTCCAGAAGCCGGAAATGAAAGGAGAAGCCTCTGCCTTTGTTTGTGTTTGTCTGTCTCATTATATATAATTGTAAAGGCACTGAATGTTTGCTTATGTATGTAAATGCTGTAATCCAAGCACCTCCCCAGAGCCAGAGATGAGCACTGCCTCCAGAAGCCGGAAATGAAAGGAGAAGCCTCTGCCTTTGCTTGTGTAGCCAGAAATGAAAGGAGAAGCCTCTGCCTTTGTTTGTGTTTGTCTGTTTCATTGTATATAATTGTAAAGGCACTGAATGTTTGCCTAGGTATATAAATGCTGTAATCCAAGCACCTCCCCAGAGCTGGAGATGTGCACCGCCACCAGAAGCCAGAAATGAAAGGAGAAGCCTCTGCCTTTGTTTGTGTTTGTCTGTTTCATTGTATATAATTGTAAAGGCACTGAATGTTTGCCTAGGTATATAAATGCTGTAATCCAAGCACCTCCCCAGAGCTAGAGATGAGCACTGCCACCAGAAGCCAGAAATGAAAGGAGAAGCCTCTGCCTTTGTTTGTGTTTGTCTGTCTCATTGTATATAATTGTAAAGGCACTGAATGTTGGCCTATGTATGTAAATGCTGTAATCCAAGCACTGTCCCAGAGCCAGAGATGAGCACCGCCTCTGGAAGCCAGAAAAGTGAAGCCTCTGCCTTTGTTTGTGTTTGTCTGTCTCATTATATATAATTGTAAAGGCACTGAATGTTGGCCTATGTATGTAAATGCTGTAATCCAAGCACCTCCCCAGAGCCAGAGATGAGCACTGCCTCCAGAAACTGGAAATGAAAGGAGAAGCCTCTGCCTTTGTTTGTGTTTGTCTGTCTCATTGTATATAATTGTAATGGCATTGAAAGTTTGCCTATGTATGTAAATGCTATAATCCAAGCACCTCCCCAGAGCCACAGATGAACACCGCCTCCAGAAGCCGGAAATGAAAGGAGAAGCCTCTGCCTTTATTTGTGTTTGTCTGTTTCATTATATATAATTGTAAAGGCACTGAATGTTTGCCTATGTATGTAAATGCTGTAATCCAAGCACCTCCCCAGAGCCAGAGATGAGCACTGCCTCCAGAAGCCGGAAATGAAAGGAGAAGCCTCTGCCTTTGTTTGTGTTTGTCTGTCTCATTGTATATAATTGTAAAAGCACTGGATGTTTGCCTATGTATGTAAATGCTGTGATTTGCTCTGAGTCCCATAGGGGAGAAGGGCAGAATATAAATAAAGTGTATTATTATTATTATTATTATTGTTATTATTATTAGTCATAACTGGTGCTGAAGATGAAAATAGGAGGAAGACAGAAAAACCAGGACACTTAAAAAGCAGCTGAAAAAGTGGAACACCAGAGGATCAAGAGCTTGATTCGACCTCTTTCCTTATGTTCAATACTTTCTCTTACTTGTAAACTTTGGCGTTGAACTTCTTCTCACTGGGAAATCCAAACATGCCGCAGATGACGCGGGAATTCTTCTGGGTCCAGAATGCATCACAGATCTGCTTCCAGACGCCTCCGACTTTCACTTCCACTTGACCCTCGCTGACCGGGATGCGCTTGCGGAAGTAACCCAGGATGGGCCGCAGCCGAGCGTCTTCCACTCGGATGTTCACGTTCTGAAGAGAAGGGACAAAACAGAGTAGACATGAGTTTGCCAACTGAAGTATTCCTGGGCTGCATTTGTCGATTTCTTGCTGAACTACAAGTTTTATTATGCCTCAGCATTGGGCTTTCCTTGCTAGAGCTAACAGAAGCAGGATGGTGAATCTACACTGTAGGATTAAAGCACTTTGACACCACTTCAACTGCTATGGTTCCATGCTACGGAATCATGAGAGACATAGGTTTTACAAGGCCTTTGACTTTTCCGACTAAGAGTGTACGTTTCCCGAATCCCACCAAACTACAAATTCCAAGATTCCACAGCACTGAGCCATGGAAAATCAAGTGGTGTCAAAGTGCATTAATTTTGCAGTGTAGATCAGTGTTTCTCAACCTTCCTAACACCACGACCCCTTGATACATTTCCTCATGTTGTGGTGACCCCCAACCATAACATTATTTTGGTTGCTACTTCATAACTGTAATTACAATCAAATTACACCTACAATCAAATTACACCTACAATCAAAATTTTGCTACTGTTATGAATCGTAATGTAACTATCTGATATGCAGGATGTATTTTTGTTGTTGTTCATTCGTTCAGTCGTCTCCGACTCTTCGTGACCTCATGGACCAGCCCACGCCAGAGCTCCCTGTCGGCCGTCACCACCCTCAGCTCCCTCAAGGTCAGTCCAGTCACTTCAAGGATGCCATCCATCCATCTTGCACTTGGTCGGCCCCTCTTCCTTTTGCCTTCCACTTTCCCCAGCATAATTGTCTTCTCTAGGCTTTCCTGTCTCCTCATGATGTGGCCAAAGTACTTCAACTTTGTCTCTAGTATCTTTCCCTCCAGTGAGCAGTCGGGCTTTATTTCCTGGAGGATGGACAGGTTGGATCTTCTCGCAGTCCAAGGCACTCTCAGAACTTTCCTCCAACACCACAGCTCAAAAGCATCGATCTTCCTTCGCTCAGCCTTCCCTAAGGTCCAGCTCTCACATCCGTAGGTTACTACAGGGAATACCATGGCTTTGACTAGGCGGATCTTTGTTGCCAGTCTGATGTCTCTACTCTTCACTATTTTATGGAGACTGGACATTGCTCTCCTCCCAAGAAGGAAGCGTCTTCTGATTTCCGGCCACAGTCTGCATCTGCAGTAATCTTTGCCCTAGAAATACAAAGTCTGTCACGGCCTCCACGGTTTCTCCCTCTATTTTCCAGTTGTCAATCATTCTTGTTGCCATAATCTTGGTTTTTTTTATGTTTAGCTGCAACCCAGCTTTTGCGCTTTCTTCTTTCACCTTGGTTAGAAGGCTCCTTAGCTCATCCTCGCTTTCGGCCATCAAAGTGGTATCATCGGCATATCTAAGGTTGTTAATGTTTCTTCCAGCAATTTTTACCCCAGCCTTGCATTCGTCAAGCCCTGCACATTGCATGATGTGTTCTGCATACAAGTTGAATAGGTTGGGTGAGAGTATGCAGCCTTGCCGTACGCCTTTCCCAATCTTGAACCAGTCTGTTGTTCCGTGGTCAGTTCTGACTGTTGCTACTTGGTCTTTGTTGTATTTTCATACACTGGGCCAAATTTGGCACAAATTCCCAATATGCCCAAATTTGAATATTGTTGGGGTTAGGGGGATTGATTTTGTAATTTTGGGAGAACTATCAAACAATGATGGATCTGGAACAAACTTGGCATGAATCCTCAATGTGGACACTGGTGGAGTTTGGGGAAAATAGACCTTGACATTTGGGAGTTGTAGTTGCAGGGATTTATAGTTCACCTACAATCAAAGAGCATTCTGAACCTCACAAATGATAGAAATGGGCCGAACTTCCCACACAGGACTCCCATGGCCAACAGAAAATACCAGAAGGGTTTGGCAGGCATTGACCTTGGAGTTGTAGTTCCTACAGCCAGACAGCACTGTGGACTCAAACAATGATGGATCTGGACCCAAACTTGGCACAAATACTCAATATGTCCAAATATGAACACTGGTGGAGTTTTGGGAAAATAGACCTTGACATTCGGGAGTTGTAGTTGCAGGGATTTATAGTTCACCTACAATCAAAGAGCATTCTGAACTCCACCAATGATGGAATTGAACCAAACTTGGCACACAGGACTCCCATGACCAACAGAAAATACTGGAAGGGTTTGGTGGGCATTGACCTTGAGTTTTGGAGTTGTAGTTCACCTACATCCAGAGAGCACTGTGGACTCAAACAATGATGGATCTGGACCAAACTTGGCATGATACTCAATATGCCCAAATGTGAACACTCGTAGAGTTTGGGGAAAATAAACTTCACATTGTAGTAGCTGGGATTTATAGTTCACCTACATTCAAAGAGCATCCTGAACCTCACCAATGATAGAAGGCCGAACTTCCCACACAGAAACCCCATGACCAACAGAAATGTTTTGTGTTTTCTGATTGTCTTTGGTGACCCCTCTGACACCCCCTTGCGACCCCCCCCCACAGGGGTCCCGACTCCAGGATTGAGAAACACTGGTGTAGATGGACGTGAAGTCCTACATCCTCCATGCCTGAACAAATGGGCTTTTGTGGACTTCCGTACTCATTTCAATGAATGCATCCTTCTGCACTTGGAAGAGCCTTTGTTTCCCTTATAACTGAAGAGGTGGGATATGAGTCATATGAAGGGGCTTTCACATTTTGAAGACCAAAAGTGTTGCAACAGATGGGAATTTTAAAAACTTCTTGGCAGCTAAAAGTTAGGGAGGTCGGAGAGAAAGAGAGAAAAGAAATAAGCTACCGGAGGTTTAGATTACGTTTTCGAAAGAACTTGTTTCCTCTTATGAAATAAAAAAAAATGACATAGCTCTTTCATCATTACCTCACTGCCATGGAATTCCCCCCTTTCCACTCATAAATGTAATATTTCTGAAGGTGGAAAGGAGAGTTTGCTAGAAACTTGTGTTAGAAATCAGCATAATTTGTAGCTTACGACAATTGGTTTTCCTGGGTTGTTGTAGGTTTTTTTGGACTATATGGCCATGGTCTAGAGGCATTCTCTCCTGACGTTTCACCTGCATCTATGGCAAGCATCCTCAGAGGTAGTGAGGTCTGTTGGAACTAGGAAAAGGGGGTTTATATATCTGTGGAATGACCAGGGTGGGACAAAGGACTCTTGTCTGCTGGAGCTAGGTGTGAATGTTTCAACTGACCACCTTGATTAGCATTTGATGGCCTGACAGTGCCTGGAGCAAACTTTTGTTGAGAGGTGATTAGATGTCCTTGTTTGTTTCCTCTCTGTTGTTGTGCTGTTGTAATTTTAGAGTTTTTAAAACCATGAAAATGAACAAAATCTGGCTACCAGTATTAAAAAAACTCTAAAATTACAACAGCAAAACAACAGAAAGGAAACAATCTGGGACATCTAATCACCTCTCAACAAAAGATTGCTCCAGGCACTGCCAGGCCATCAAATGCTAATCAAGGTGGTCAGTTGAAACATTCACACCTAGCTCCAGCAGACAAGAGTCCTTTGTCTCACCCTGGTCATTCCACAGATATATAAACCCATTTTCCTAGTTCCAACAGACCTCACTACCTCTGAGGATGCTTGACATAGATGCAGGCAAAACGTCAGGAGAAAATGCCTCTAGACCATGGCCATATAGCCCAAAAAAACCTACAACAACCCAGTGATTCCGGCCATGAACGCCTTCGACAATACATTGTATTTTATGTTGTTTGTGGGCATTGACTGCTGACTGTAAACTGCCTTGAGTCGCCTTCAGGCTGAGAGGGGCAGTATGTAAATATGGTAAACAAACAAACAAACAAACAAACAAATTTGAAGGTGTATGGTCCCACCAGTTGTTTACTACTGGCAGGTGGTACTTGTGACATAAGTTCCAATGAATCATTTGGTCCTCAGAGTTGTGCCTCTGTTTGTAGTCTGTATGTGTGATTTTCTTGCAGCAGCGGAGAATATGATCCATGGTTTCATCAGCTTCCATTCACAGTAATACTATTATTATTATTATTATTATTATTATTATTATTATTATTATTAGCTGACTTTCCTCTCTTAAACAAGACTCAAAGCTGCTCACAACATGAAGAACAATATAGATCACAATGTAAAGCCTACAATGTATGAGCGTTAAAATGGAATGAAATATATAATTGTTGAAAACAAATAATTACAATTATGTAAAACCATTAAAAACTGTTAAATTATTATTATTACTAGCCATCCCCTGCCACACATGGGGATTCTGCGTGGGAGGTTTGGCCCAATTCAATCATTGGTGGGGTTCAGAATGCTCTTTGAGTGTAGGTGAACTATAAATCCCAGCAACTACAACTCCCAAATGTCAAGATTCTATTTTCCCCAAACTCCACCAGTGTTCACATTTGGGCATATCGAGCATTTGTGTAGAGTTTGGTCCAGATCTATCATTGTTTGAATCCACAGTGATCTCTGGACATAGGTGAACTACAACTCCAAAACCAAAGGACACTGCCCACCAAACCTTTCCAGTATTTTCTGTTGGTCATAGGAGAACTGTGTGCCAAGTTTGGTTCGATTCCATCGCTGGTGGGGTTCAGAATGCTCTTTGATTGTAGATGAACTATAAATCCCAGCAACTATAACTCCCAAATGTCAAGATTCTATTTTCCCCAAACTCCACCAATGTTCACATTTGAGCATATGGAGTATTCGTGTAGAGTTAGGTCCAGATCCATCAATGTTTGATTCCACAGTGATCTCTGGACATAGGTGAACTACAACTCCAAAAGCCCACCAAACCCTTCCCGTATTTTCTGTTGGTCAAGTATTTTCTGTTGGTCATGGCAGTTCTGTGTGCCAAGTTTGGTTCAATTCCATCGTTGGTGGGGTTCAGAATGCTCTTTGATTGCAGGTGAACTATAAATCCCAGCAACTACAACTCCCAAATGACTAAAGCAATTTTTTTTTGAGTGAAGGACATACATTGGGTTGTTAGGTGTCTTGTGTCCAAATTTGGTGTCAAT